ACCGGTTCGAGGGGGACGTTAGAAAATGGCGCGGAACTGGTTTACGTACCCGAAATCGGCGCTTCCCGTCGTCGCCCCCACGGTTTTATAAGCTAGGTTTTAGCGGTCGAAAAACTTCGCTTCTAAACAGGCTCTGATTACCAAGTGTGAGGATCTAGGATCGAGCTCAGAAAAGAGAATGGAATTGAATATGATCACCTGGGTACAACACGAGGCTATATATAGGCTCGACACAAAGCCCCGAAACCAGGTGTTACGCGAAGGTTCCGCGGGCCGCGTAGCATCCCGAACAGACCCTTACCGAATTCGGTAGAAGGCGATTCGGTGGCAACCGAAAAGGCCAGAATTCGGTGCACGCAACCTAGCTCGGTGCTATAACTATAATAAAATATAGGAAAGCACCTAGCCTAGGAAATCAAGCAATTCATGCATGCATATGATTATCCTATGCTAGAAATAGCATAATAAAGTAGAGGCAAGCAAGCATAGCTGGCATAAGCCGTCGTACTCTCACAGCTGAACCTCGTCACCCAGGTAGCCCGGTCGATCAGGCAACCACATCCACGAGCTGCTCCTTCATGTGCCCGTCGACCACCCACGTTGACGACCACCTCTAGTCAACGTCACTAGGTCGACCACACCCTTCGTCGACCAGCTTCAGGTCAACGACACTCCTAGTCGACAAGCTTCAGGTCGACCAACATATCCACAGCCAATCACACCACGTCGGTTGTCCCAAGTCGGCGTTACCAGGTCGACACCCTCCACAGGTCAACTTCCCAAGTCGACCACCTAGAGTTGGCGCCCACTCGAAGTTGGCGCCCTTGCAGTGGCCCCTGTGCATGTCGACCAGCCCCGTTGACCAGCTCACCCACTGCTGGAGGTCGGCTTACCCCTCATACCCGATCACGAAGTCGGCTCTGCCCAAGCGAGGATGGGGCCTACCACAATTCCCATTGACACTCCCCTGCCGCGTTCACGCTTGGCAGCACCACTTGGAGAATAGCTCGTCCGCGTGCACCCAACACACAGCACGCCAGCCACCGCACCAGCCATGCAAGAAGGCATGGCACCTACTGCTGCACGTCGTCGTCACCGTTGCCCATATCAGCCATGCGCACTTAGCCGATTACGATGGAGCACCGGTTGAAGGATGGATAGTGCAGCGCCTTTGTCAGGAAGTCAGCCGACTGCTTGGTGGTCGGGATGTACTTCAGCGTGAACTTCCCGCGCTTCACCAAATGCTGCAGCCAGGCTTGTCGGCGCTCCATGTGCTTGAGGTTGCCTATCAACCCCATGCCCTTGGCGACTGTGATGGCCGACTTGTTGTCCACCCGAAGGACAGTTGGCGTCCTAGCATCCAGCTGCCAGAACTCTGCAAGAAGGAAGTCAAGTCGGCATCCCTCCTTCTCGGCTTTAGTGGCCGCCACATACTCCGACTCGGTCGACGAAAGCATCGCGCACTTGATGCGCTGGCTCGACTAGGAGACTGCACCCCCTCCGTAGACTAACACGTAGCCGCCCGTGCTCGTCCGCTCCTGCTTGTTGCCGGCGTCGTCGACGTCCACGTAGCCGACCAACTTCAGCGAATCTGATCCACTGCCGAACTCCAGGGCGATGTCGCACGTGTTGGCGAGGTATGCGAGGCAACGCTCGACCTCATGCCAGTGTTGGTCAATCCTCACCGTGAGGCCGCTCCCCAGCTTGCTGCAGGCGAACGCGATGTCATGCCTCGTCATCGTCGCCGCGAATAGCAGCGACATAGTTTTGCTGGTGAAGCCACAGCTTCCTAGCTAGCCTGTCACACACGATCTCCAATCCGAGGTACTTGATGACCGACGAGATCTCGTGCAGCTTGAAGGTGGCCTCCAGCAGCTCCTTCAGCATCATGGTGCTGCTGCTGGCATACAGCAGGTCGTCGACATAGACCAGCACCTAGCAGGTCATCGTCGCCGTCCTTGAAGTAGAGCGCGTAGAGGCTCGTAGAGGCGCGTAGAGGCTCTTCAGCAGCTTGCACACCCAGCCGGTCCCATCGTCGAAATAGTTCGGCTGGTACTCCAACAACTAATGGAGGGGAAAATGGGTCCCAGGGAGACAGCGAACACACTACTTTGTCAGAGCATCTGCACAAAATTGTGAAACATAGGAGCACAATCTCATAATACATCTTTGTCACAACTGTGCTCACAGGCTTAGACTTGAATGGAGATACTGCAGGGCGCTAACCGAGAACAAGGGGCTCACTAGGGACTTCACCTGGGCCCTCGCAAGGGCTCGGAGGTGCTGGACTTGACCAGCAAGAAGGTGGTCAGGTCGGTCGAGGTGATCTCTGTGAGGCGTTGTCGCTGGAGGTGTGGAAGGCGAAGTATGGGCTGACGTCGGGGCGGACGCAGGCACACCCGCCTGCAAACACCTCGACGGCGATTTTCCCTCTGCTTACGGAGGTCAACGAGCTTGCTGAAGAGGATGTCAGGGAAGTCCTCCCTCCGCCCCCTGTTCTTGCTCCTCCTACCTTTGTGGCCTGCATCGACACCAGTCTCGGCCGCCGGTGATGAGGGGAGCCTTGAGGCTTCGCCTGTGGCGCCGGCCAGTGTCATTGCCAGCGGCCGACGAGATTCCAAGCTCGTCCACAAGGATGTAGAGCCGTTGACGACAGGGAAGCAGTAGACAGGGGAGCTGGTGGAGAAGGAGGCATCAGGAGAAGTCAACTCGATAGGGGAGCAGTCCAATCGACAAGGCAATCGACAGGGGACGTCGCGGAGTCCTAGAGTTAATACGACTTCGTGGGTACTTCCAAACTTCCAGTGTCAAAGCCGGCTTCGGCTAGAATGAGTGAATGCCGATATGTTTTGTCGACGATATGTTCCGTAACAGAATGTTGTACGTCATGAGCCAGTTGAGCTATAGTACTGCAATCTGGTGTCGTGAGTGTACGTCGCTAGGCATGCATACAACAATAGCTCTAGCCCTAAGCTCCAAGTGCTCCCGTGTTTCACAATTCAAATGTTTATGCCAGCAGCGGTGACCGTAACCTTTTTCGACCCTTAGGCTTTTTGTATCCCTTGGACATCGTACTCCGTAACACCTGCATTTTTTGTGTTCATGAATATCATTCGTGAATATTTATCGTTTATATATGTACTATGATTTACAAACTTAATGCTACTCATAGAAACATTTTTCATGCGTTGGTTACTGGTGTGAATTGACGTATATCTTGGTAACTGGATCGGAGGCTTTTTCTTTTTTATTTCTGGCTCTTAATGTTTTTGAAGATATACTGAGAAAGAACGAGGAACGAATGAACTAGGAAACAGTTGGATACAAATGTGAAACCCTAGAAACCTGTACCCCTTAGAGTCTACCCCACTACAGCCTACATAGGCTAAGTCATATATATCTGACACACCCCCATAGGCAAAGTGGGGGAGAACTAGGGGTCACAAGACCAGTCAAGCAAAGCAAAACAAAGCAAGCTCAGGGTGGATCACAACGTCACCACACAGTCCGAGCATAGGGTCAAGGCCATAAGGCCAGTTCACATGCAGGAATATATATAATGGTAAACAAGCAAGTGCAGATATAGATAGATCACACTACAAGCAAGGTCAAGAAGTGAGCAAGTGAGGCCAAGTAGGCACAAGACCTAGCATCGTACAGAAGCGCTGATGATCACAAGGTTGAAGTGCCTTGGTAAAGATATCAGCAGTGTTGGCCCGAGAGGCCACGTAAGCAAGGCGCAGCTGACCATGCTGCTGCAGCTCACGAGCAAGAAAGTAGCGAAGAGCAATGTGCTTCATTCTGTGCTCCAACCTGTGCTCCCGACACAAGGCCAGCATGGCCTTGTTGTCTACGTACAGAACTGGAGGAGAACGAGGCAGCTCTCCCAGGTCGGTCAGCAGGTAGGTGAGCCAGCGTAACTCCTGTGCAGCCATGGCCCCTGCGTAGATCTCGGCCTCACAGCTGGAGCCGAGAACACAAGCCGAGCGGGTAGACCGCCACGAAACAGAGCCGGAACCAAGACTGAAGGTGTAACCCTGTGACGAGCGCTGTCTAGCGTGGTCGTCAGCCCAAGAAGCGTCTGCGTGACCGATGAGGACCACTGAACGCCGCCCTCCAAGCACTAGCCCCATGCCTGACGTACTGCACAAGTAGCGCAACACCCTCTTCGCTGCAGCCATGTGCTCTGGTCCGTATCTCCCAGGAGCAACATAGCGAGCCCAGATGCTGAGAGGGTATGCAAGGTCAGGTCGAGTGCAGGTCATTAGGTACATGAGGCAGCCAACAAGCTCTTGGTACAGGCCACTAGGCTCTACGGACTCATCCGAAGGCAGAGCTGAGATCGAGTGGCGAGTAGACAGAGGAGTGGCCTGAGGTGAGGAGTACGTGAAGTCGAAGCGCTGAAGGACCTGCTGCACCATGTGTGACTGAGTCAGGGTAATGGTGCGATGTGCTCTGTCCTGGGTGATCTGCAAGCCAAGGTAGCTGCGCAGTTCACCCAGGTCTGTGCACGTGTGTCTCTTTTGCAGCTCGGACTTCACGTGGGCGAGTCCAGCAGTGTCAGCAAAGGCAAAGACCAAGTCGTCGACATACACGAGGATGTAGAACGGCGGCAAAGAGGTGTCGGTGCGCAGAAACAACGACGGGTCGGCAGTAGAAGGAGCAAACCCAAGAGCCGCAAGTGTAGTCCTCAGTGTGTCGTGCCACTCACGCCGTGCCTGGCGGAGACCGTAGACTGGCCGCCGGAGGCTCCACTGGGTACCAGGAGGAAACAACCCAGTGAAGCCAGGTAGGCGGCGCAGCCAGATCTCCTCGTGCAGGCTGCCATGCAAGAAAGCTGTGCTAAAGTCAAGAGAGTGAAGCTCGTAGTCGCGCTGAGCGGCTATGTGCAGCAGCACCCAAAGAGTGGTCATCTTCGGGGTGGGAGAGAAGGTCTGAAAGCAGTCAACTCCCTGCTGTGGACTGAAGCCTCGAGCCACGTAACGCGGGAGACCAAGAACCTACTCAAGGAGCGGAACGAAGTACGGCCGCGGCGGCTCAGCGCCTCTTGAAACAGCAGGGACAACACCAGTACCCCAAGCGGCAGCACCAGCGCCAGCAGTACCTCTAGCTCCAGCAGCGCCAACTCCAGCACCCTCAGAAGTACCAGCGCCAGCAGCACCTCCAGCGCCAACACCCCTAGCAGCTCCAGTACCTCTAGCAGCACCCGCAGCACCTCCAGTAGGACCAACTCCAGCAGCCCCAGCAGCACCCCCAGTCCCAACAGCTCTAGTACCGCCAGTACGAGCACCTCCAGGACCAGTGGCTCCAGTACCTCCAGCGCCGACCCCAGGGTCAGCAGCAATAGTAGCACCTCCAGCTCCAGCAGCACGGCTCCAGCGCCGGGCAAACCAGTCGCACAGCTCCTGTGGAGAGGGTAGCTCCTGCCGAGACGAAGCACCCAAAGGACCCCCAGACCCAGCACCCCCAGGCTCCGCACCCCCAGGCTCAGCACCCCTCGGCTCCGCAGCCCCAGGCTCCGCACCCCCAGGCTCAGCACCCCCAGCCTCAGCACCCCCAGGCTCAGCACCCCTAGCAGCACCAGAGTCAACAGCTTCCTAGACAGGCTCGACGGCGTCTACCTAGGACACACCTGACGGGGCAAGACCTTGAGGGGGGAGAGGGTCTACCGGGGGGGGACCTGACACAAGGAAGAGCGGCGGTGGGGGGAGGGGCGCAGTGCGGTAGGGGAAGAGACGGTAGTAAGGAACCGACTCGTCAAAGGTGACGTCCTGAGAGGACAGAACACAGCGTGAGGTGGGGTGGTAAAACTGCCAAGCAGGCACGTCAAGGGGGAAGCCAAGGAAGACGCAGGGAACAGCACGGGGGGACAGCTTGTCCGCAGACAAGTCGCAGACAAACGCCCGAGATCCTCAGACACGAAACGCAGACGCATCGCCAACCTTCCTCGTCCACCGCAAGGTGGGGGGAGGTCTCTGGCAAGGAGACCCAGGGCTGAAGGTTGATCTCATGCGCTGCGTACCGAACCGCAAACGGCCACAGAAAATGGGGAGCAGCCGCATGGATCATGGACGTACGAGCGACGTCCATGACCATGCCAATGTGGCGCTCAGCAATCCCATTTTGCTGTGGAGAGGCCGGAAGCGTGAACGTCTGGCAGATGCCCTGTGCACGAGAGAAGGCTCCCAGAAGGCCTGAGGAAAACTCCCCGCCTCTGTCAGAGTGCAGAAGCAGAACAGGAAAGTCCGAGCCGAAACTCTCTCTATGCTGGAGACGAGCTGCGCAGATCCAGTCAATCAACACCTCAATGACGTCACCCTTGCTGCACAAGGGGAACAGCGTGGTGTAACGCGAGTAGCCGTCAACCACCAACAGGAAGTAACGCTTGTGACCCTGGCCACGGACGCGGGCGGGGCCCCACACCTCCATGTGAAGAGTCTGCAGCAGAGCCTCTGTCGAAGGAAACTCGGAGGAGTGAGGGGCGGCGCGCTGCCGCCCCTCGACGCAGGGAACGCAGGTAGGGGCAGGCCCCGGAGGGAGGGGAGGGAAGGACCAAGGGAGACCAGAGACAAGGACACGGGAGGCCATGCCTCGGAGACAAGGCAGAGAGGGGTGACCAAGGCGGTGGTGCCAGAGGAGAGTCTGGTAGGACAGTAGGCGACACGAGCAGGGAGCAGACTAAGGACCAGACCTGGACGCTACAGCAAACACCTGACTCAACGCAGCTACCTGACCAGACTCAGCAACCGGAGGAGACTCAGTAGTCAGTGTGTACAGGCTTGACCCCGGCTGACGGGTAAACGTGGCCAAGTGTCCGCCCGTCCGAGCACACGTACAGTGGGTCACCCGCTGACTCGCAGGAGTGAACTGGTCAACCCCCCCATCCTGTAGATCAGCACCACTCACCAAGTTCGTAGAGAACGAGGGGAGGTAGAGACCTGACAGGGTGCCAGAGGGGGCCGCCGGACACGGTAAGACAGTGGAGAAGTGGCCAAGGACAGGACCCCCAGAGGGGTCCGCCAGGGAGACCGCAACTGGCCGACTAAGCGGCGTAAGCGTGGTGCGGTCTCGAAAGAAGGAGCGGGAAGCACCTGAGTCAAGGGTGAAGGTGTGTAAGGCCTGAGCCGACGTGGTACCTGAGAGAGCAGACGCACCAGTACCTGGGGCAGCTGACGCTCTAGCACCTAGAGCAGTTGTCTCACCAGCACCTAGACCAGCAGCCTCAATGCCCGGGTCAGGCAGAACACACAGGTAACAGTCACCCTCATCACTAGTAGACATAACATACATGGCAGCAAGAATGGCATCATAATCCAGATCAAAGATAGCAACCCCCGACCTAAGCAGCTCGCCCCAGCGGGGGATCTCAGTGGCGTCAGGAAAATGGAGACGCCAAGCGTCCGTCAGGCGGCCGAAGCACCGCTGGGTGGTGTGCGGGCCACCACACGGCTCACCATTGCGGTCGCCGGTACGCAGGACATAGGCACAAGAACCAGCACCCCACCCCGCTGACGAGCAGCGTACCACTCAAGAAGCTGCTGGGGGGGAGGGGTCTCATGGGTGCGCTGCTGCTGCTGGCGCTGACCACCACCGAAGCTGCTCCGCTGCGCAGAGCCACCCCGACCAGCTCCACCTCTGCCGCCGCCACCTCCGCCACCGCCGCCATCGCCTCCTCCTCCGCTCCCACCGCCACCGCCTCCGCCTCCACCGTCACCACCGAAGCCCCCACCCCCGCCACCACTCCCACCGCCACCCCCACTCCCTCCGCCGCCTCCACCGCCACCTCCAACGCCCACGCCAGCCCCTCTAGTGCCCTTGCCCTTGCCGGTGCGGCGTCTCCCGCTAGGGGCAGACGCAGCGCCGACCGGCTCGGTGCCAACGAAGTCGACGGCAGCAGCAGAGGCAACAGAGGGCAAAAGGGGGGAGAGGGAGCACCCCTCAAAGAAGGGGGCACGATGGCCACCACAAGAGGCTCCTACAGCGACTATACTCTTCTCAGCTGCCATGAGGCGCTCCTCGAGGAGGTCAACGGTGAGTGTGGTGGGGCAAACAGAGAGGAAGTGGTCCCTGACCGAGCGAAGGGAGTCAGGGAGCCGAGTGACGATGTAGTAGAGGGTGATGTACATGGGGGGGGGGGGTTCTTGGCGCAGAACTCAGCAGGAAGCGCAGCGCGGTAGCGGGTGTCACTAGTGCGAAGGTGCGTAATGAGGTCAGCGACTGTAGGAAAGGCGGCAAGGTCAGAGAACAGGTACGGCAGCATGAGGCGGCTAAGGGCAGCAGTGGCAGGAGAAGAGTAGAGTGCGACTACAGCGTCGTACAAGGTCCTAGCACTCTTGTACTGACTGAAGTGCGCGCGCTCAGAGGACGGGAAGTGACTACGCACAGCAAGACGGGCAGCAGCATCGCGTGTGGCCCACTGTGAGCGAATAGTGCTGTCAGCATCGGCAGCAGGGGCAGTAGAGGCGCCAGACGTGAGATCGAACACTAAGAGACCGTCCTTCCTATCGCACTGTAGGAAAAGCTGTAGATCATCGACCCAGACCTCAAAGTCAACAGCCCTACCCTCAGCATCAAAGACGAGAACGCTAGGGGTAGCCATGACAGCACTTGCACCAGGCTAGGGGCAGCAGCAACAGTAGCAAGAGTAGGGGCGCAGCTCGGCGGTGCAATTACCAGGGCAGGTGGGTAGAGTGCCGCAAGTGGTGGGGCAGGGCCGAGGCGCGTCGGCAGGGACAGGGCCGCTACAGCGCCGCTCCTCTCTGCAGGACAGGGCCGGGACAGTGGCGGCGGCCCCTGCTGTCGGCGGCGGCGGCAACTGCAGTCGGCGGCTGCGGCCCCGGCTGTGGCGGCGGCGGCTGCTACCGTCGGCGGCTGTGGCCCCGGCTGTGGCGGCGGCGGCTGCTGCTATCAGCGGCACCGGCGGTGGCGGCTCCCGCTGCAGGGGCGGCGTCGGCTGCTGCTGCAGGGGCGACGACGGCGGGGCGGCAAGTCTCTGAGGGAGCCGAGAAGGGGCCGCAGAGGAGCCGAGAAGTGGCCGCAAAGGGCGGTGAAGGGGCCACAAAGGGCCGTGAAGGGGCTGCGAAGGACGGCGACGGGGCCACGAAGGGGCCGTGAGGGGCCGCGAAGGGTGGCGACGGGGCGGAGAAGGGCCGCGAAGGGCAGCTACGGGGCCGACAAGGGCTATGAGGGGCCGCAAAGGGCGGCGACGGGGCCGAGAAGGGCGGCGACGGGGCCGCGAATGGCGGCGACGGGGCCTAGAAGGGGCCGCAAAGGGGCCGCAAGGAGCCGTAAGGGGCCACGAAGGGCCGTGAGCGGGGCCGCGAAGGGCCGCGTAGGGGCCGCGAGGGAGCCGTGGGGGGCCGCGAGGGGCCGTCAGAGGGGCCGTATGGGAGCGCGACGGGCCGCTAAGGGCAGGGGACGCGACGGGAGGGCAGGCACACGGGGCGCGACTCGGGCAGGAGCGAAGCGCGCTCCGGGCGGGAAAAAAAAGAGAACGATCGTGGTGGGCCCTAGGAAACGTTCCCACTAGGGAACCTGCTCTATACCGTTATGTGAAAGAACGAGGAATGAATGAACTAGGAAACAGTTGGATACAAATGTGAAACCCTAGAAACTTGTACCCCTTAGAGTCTACCCCACTATAGCCTACATAGGCTAAGTCATACATATCTGACATATACCTCACAAACATTAGAGGTTGTCTTGTACATAATAAAATTTGAGTCGTTACTGATTAGGCTGGTTGTTCGAATATGCTTGTTTTGTCCTAAATGACTGAACACGTCTTCAGTTGAGTTCGTTGCACGGCCCTTATTGTTTTTGGCCAACTGGGCAGTTGGCCCAGCTGGTCAGTGGTTTGTTTGTTGGCTTCGTTGGCAGGGTACATAGAGTGCACAGTACACCACACACGGTCCTAGAAAACAAACATGAAAACACCCTTCTTGGTCCACCCTAGAAGATTTTGGCACCAGGCTTGTGGCAATGCAGTAGTGGGTAGTGTAGGTAGGCAATGCCATCATGATACACGACCACTTCAACTCAGCCCTAGGAGTCTCATGTTGAGTTTGCCCAGAACCACCCAAAATGAGGCACCCCAGTACCGGTATTTAGGACACACAAAACAAACGAAATCATAACGAGTTAAGGACGTGGCCCAGACCGCCTCTGATTGCCTCGAACAGAGGCGACCAGTAACTTCATGGAAGCCCTGATGCCGATTTCAGGCAATCATGGGCAATCAACTCATCGCGATCAATTGATCGCCCCAACTCAATCAACCGCCTCAAACACCCCAATAAATCACGATCACGCACAATCAGTCACGATCAGTTGATTGCATGGGATGGGGATCCTGGCGACGCTTGCGAAAATATTACAGTTTCTCGTTGAGCTCGTCACACAATCGCGCAAATGATATCTTAAGTGTAATTTGCGATATTACGTGGAAACATATAATTCGCTACGTCTTCGCTCTCGCCAAAATTGGGGCGAAAGAATCAGGAAATGCTGACACATTTACGAGGCATGCGTTCGTGGGCCCAAACGGGTTTGATCACGACTGATCTGATCAGGGTGGATCTGATCGGGTTGCTTGTGATCGCAATGCCCGAGCCGCCCGATCAGTAATGCTTTTCTTAGAGAATTCTTCTCGGCTGCTCAGCAAGCGGGATTCAATTACCTGGTATTTTCGTGGCAATCTTAGCAAGACTGGCGACCATGCGGCTTCTAACGAAACTTTCTGTATCCAAGTAATATCGTGAAAACCACTCCTCTCTGGAGCCGAAGTGGTGGGATTCCACCAGATTGTTCGACACAGGCTGTATGTTCCTTGGGAGCGAGGAGAATGATTGGATGGCGAAATGGGTGCCATTCCAGGGTGTTCTGTACAGGCTGGACATCTTCGTGAGGGGTTGACGAATCCCTGTAATATAGCTTAACTTTTCGTCAGTATCGTTGTGGTCCCTGATTACCCACGATCAATCGACCGTGGGTGATCGAAGAGAATCGACAATTATCGGGGGGTATTTCGGGTCTGATCGAGTCGGGGCGATCAGCTGATTGCCCCTGATTGCCTGAATTTGGGCTCCAGGCTTCCTGAAAAGTATTGATCGCGGCTGATCGAGGCGATCAAACCCGTTCGGGCCCACGCTATGAGTTTTCCAGGAATATCCGCACTGAACGGGCGGCGCGAGCAAGCAATCAGAAGCAACCCGATCAGATACCACCCGATCAGATCAACGCCGATCAGAGGCGGTCTGGGCCACGGCCTAAATGGTTGTAGGATGGATAGTTATTTTCTAATCCGAGCTGCACTTGTTTCGATTCCATCCCGCCATACACCTTCGAAAGATCTATGAATCTGGCATGGTGCAAAACCCTGATTCTGCGGCTAGCACTGTGCATGTCACACCTTACATCGAAACCCTGAAAGCAAATACGTAAGGGCGGGTCCAGCTCGTATCAATTTGGCGGTATGCAACTTCCGTAACGATTTGCCAACTCTCCGAGTTTCAAGCAGGGGATCCCAAGTCAGGCACGTGCCATGTCCTGGAGGGCCTACGCGGACTCCAGTTCCCGCCCGTTTGAACTGCCAGGCCTACGCGGACACAGCATCCCGCCCATGCGCTCAGATTTTGGACGAACACATTTGGCTCGCGAACGCTAAACTTGTCGACTGGGTAACTAGGGTTTCGGGTGAAAAAAAATGTGGGAATCGACATCGCGGGAAATTGGTGTGGGAAATTTCGGAAATGTTAGTCGACTGAATCTGCATAAGCGATCTACAACTCATTCGCTTGACGAAGGTAAAGCTTGTTACCAGCAAGTGAGCCAGCGAGGGTTTGATTTGGGACCGCGGTCCAGTTTGCAATTTTATCGTTTGAATTTCGAATGCACATCATGATCTGAAATGCGACTGGTTTTGCAAGATGGGAAACCGAGCACGTCATCCAGACTGTTTTCGAATCTTGATGCGGCTACCCTAAAAAAAGGGTTACTGTTCCCCAAACTGACCTGAGCTGTGATGAGTTGGAAATGGCAGTCGCAAAACACGGACATAGTGCCCTCTCTGCGCGGGTAGATTGTTCTGACCACCCGTCTTTTCCGTATAGAGCGTGGTCTCCTGGTCTGTTCGTTCTAGTCCGTAGAGAAATACACGTTTTCAGCGCACTGACCAAATTATCTCAAACTGTTTGTACAGTACAGGTCTCAGATTCCAGAATATTTATCGATCTCGTCAACTTTCAGTTACATCAAGCGATTTATGCCACCAAGCTGCACCAAGCTCATCCTGTCGTGGCAATTTCAAGTGGAAGCATGTGATAGCGACTAGGTAGCGTCCGGGTGTCAGTTTTAGAGCGTGTCCGAGGTGAACCTCGTACCCTCTACGACTGTATGGAATGTCGATGAATTTGGTCGGAACGTTTAATCCGAGGGTGGAAATTTGCCGATATCTTCATACGAAACTGTAGCGTCCGTCGACACTTCAGACACGGCTTTGGAGATTTCGAGGGCGTGGCACTCCTGTTATCCTGACAACGCGACTCTTTAGGCTACGCTTGTGGAGCGCGTCTGGCTCCCTCCCGAGGACCGTTTGCACTGTGAGAACAGCCGAGTCGACCCGTCCATCACCCAGCTCAGGATGCCTTGTTCGTTTCTCAGCTCCCACCCACTCACGTGGCTACCCAGACGACCAGGGCGAAAACCGTGTGCGGTTCTACCGCATGTGACGAAGCCCACCGAAGAACTGTATATATACAGTAACGCCAACGCAACATCGCAGATCCAGGAACACCAGCTGGTTCGCTCGTCGTATGCGGAACAGTCAATTCATCCCTGGAACCTCAGAATCGGATCCCTTCCACCGAAACCGGCCAGAAACACCTAAGGTAAAATTTCTCACACACACATCCACTCTCCACTCGTTTGTCGTTACTGTAGACATGGCCGAGTGTTCTGTCTTTCGAGTCAGCGGAAACTGTGTTTTCTACTGAGCCGTATGTATCGAAGTTCCCCACTGGTACCAGTGGTTAGCAAAAGGGAAAACACACCAAATGGTTTTCAACTAAGTTTCCCTGCTATCGATCTGGGCCCAAGACTTCATCACTGTAATGTAAACGTCATGAGAGATCCCCTTACTGTATTTTAGGTACGCTGTGGGTTTCGAGGTCTGCAAAATGGCGAGAACCACACAACGGGAATCTCCACGTCAGCCTACTTGAACAGTGTATTTTCTTTCAATCCCGTCCGATAACTGACAGCTAGCAACTGCCTTCCCTCCCATTTTCTCTTCCGTTTCAAGCAATATTACCATTTTAAGCCTACAGCAATGATAGTGTTCAGCAGATTAGGGCTTCCGCTTTCTTGTAACGTTCAGGGTTGCTAGTACACGGACAATCCCAGTAGCTTCAACGGCCGCTTTAGCTTCCAGTGTCTAGCTTTCGATCACAAATCTCGTCGGTGACGAAGTAAAGCCTGGAACAAGAAAAAAAATCAGGGCCAAATAAATCTACTATAAAAACGTTCCAAAAAAAGAAGAAGAAAAAAACCTACAAAATATAGCAACACACCTACAGCAGCAGCTGCATGGGAACTTTGAGCGGAGGAAGAGGCGATGGTGCTTGCAATCTTTCCTGGGAACCAGAGTCGCGTCCCTCCTTGAAACAGATGGAAGAAGAGTCGAGCCGTTTCCGCTGGCAGAAAGTCTCCCATAAGTGGCTCTGCCAACGGACTTTGAAAAGGTGAGGCTCAGATTTTTTCTGTCTCATTTTATCGTGGCCACTTTGTCAGACCAAACGCAGCGATTGCGTTTTTTTTTTTTTTTTTTCCCTCATTTCTCCCATCTCTTCCCCTTATTTTTTTCAATGCATGCCTTTCCTCTCTCTATGTCTCCCCCTCCTCCCCCCCGGATCCTATTCCCGTTGTATGCAAGGGCTGTATATAATCAGAGAATGATTCTCTTGAACCTCTCCATGCTCTCCATTCACGTGTTTGCGCAAAGCCGTATCATTAATTTCTCTGTGCTGCTCCCATGCCCTTCCCCCTCCCCCTCCCCCCCCCTCCCCCCCCTCCCTCCCTCTCTCACAGGAACCACTTCACGTGTGTGTGGAAGGCCGTGTAGTTTTCAGAGAAAGAATCCCCTCTCTACTGCTCCCACCGGGAGCAAGGCATGCTCCCCCCCCCCCCCCCCTCCCCCCCCATCCCCATCTACGTCTCGTGTGCTTGTGCAAGGCCGTCACAGGACGCACACTCACTAGCTTGCGTGTCATCCCTCATTTCTACCTCTCTCCCATGATTCCCTGCCCCCTTCCCAGGATCTACTTCACGTGTGTGTGCAAGGCCTTATAGATACAGAGAAGGATTCCCTCTCTACAGATACTATGCCCCCCCCCTCCTCTCCCCTCCCTCCCCCTCCCAGAATCTACTTCACGTGTGTGTGCAAGGCCAAATCGACTCAACAATCCTCTCTCCCTTGGCCCCCTTCCCTGTCCGCCCTCCCTCCGTTAACCAGGATCTACTTCGCATGTGTGTGCAAGGCCGTCACAAGATGCACGGCACGCAAAGTGGAGGACCGCATCGCCGGCCCGCCCCGCGGCAAGCACTCTGCACCGTCCGCCGTCGTGACTTTTGAGTCGACTCAAAAGTCAAAAGTGGAGGACCGCATTGCCGGCCCGCCTCGCGGCAAGCACTCCGCGCCGACCGCCGCTGCTACTGCTTCTGCTGCTGCTGCCAGCACGGCGGACGCGACCTATGCTGCTGATACTGCCGATGCTGCTGATACTGCCGATGCTGCCGATGCGGCTGATGCTGCTGCTGATGATGCGGCTGCGCCGACTCTTGAGGATGAACGCCCCACCCGCCCCGAGCGCATGGAGATGCGCAAGGTGATACGCATGACGACTTCAGGCTTCCACAACCACCCTTCCTCGTTGTGTCTCAAGCGCCGCCGCCGCGCCGACGTCAGAGCAAGCGCCATGGCTGCTCCTTTTCAAGACGCGGCAGCAGCCTACGCAGCACCGCTTGCTGCCCTCCTGAAACCTCACCATGTCCCATCTCATCATGCCGCAACTTCGCAAGGCACTGAAAGTCCCAAAAACGCATCACGGGGTGAACTGTTCTCGACAATCCCTCAATTCATTCCTGAGGTGCAGACCCGCGGCGACAATCCCAAGGAGATCCTGTGCGCGTCAAACCCACTCACTGACCTTATCCCGTCCTATCGCTCGCTTGGTGATACCAAGGAGACTTGCACTGCCCTTGCGCCTGCTGTCCTCTCGCACAGAATCGTCGGCACAGCACAGCGGAGGAACTTTGGGAGCATGCATGAGCAGATTATGGCACTTAGAAAAGAGACAGAGGAGATAAGCCAGGCTGATGATAAACCGGGCTTCCCAATTGATGGATTCTGCTTCTCTGCTGCTGAACGGATGAGCTATCGGCCAAAAGAGCTGGAATTTCAGCCTCAGGAGTTGTTAAATCAGCCTCAGGAGTTAAGATATCAGCCTGGGCAGTTTGAGGAGTTGAGGTATCGGCCTGGGGAGTTGAGCTACCAGGCTTCAAAGCGGCAGAGGGCAACGCAGGTGAAAGCTGAGCCAGATGTCTCTTTGGAGAGTCCCGGCGCCAGCTGCAGCCAGGATGAGCCGCCCTGGCGTGCCGACAGCTGTGTGTCTGCCCCACACTTCTCAGCCGTGGCTGCTCAACGGTCCTCAGCTGCCACCTGTGCTATAGGGAACTTGCAAAGAACATCGTCGTATAGCCACGACGGGCTGCCCTGGCCTGCTGGAAGCTCCATGTCTGCTCCACACTTGCCTACTGGGCCGCTTTGGTCTGCTGCTGGCAGCGGCGATGCATCGTTCTTCCCTCGGCTGTTTGCGACGACCTGCGCCACTCAAGGGATGCTGCACTGGAGCAGCCTCGGACTGCCACAGCGCTTCCCAAACCAATGTTCGAACCCAGCAGGTCCGGCAGGCCCGCCAGGCCTGGCAGAACCTGCAGAAAACACCGAACCAGCAGGCCTGGAACCTTCAGCGTTCCTAGCACGCCCAGAAGCGCAAACAGCCGCAGCAACCTCGGCAGTGGCTCTTCCGCAAGACTGGCAGTTTCCAGCAAGTGCCAAGGTTGGCAAGAGCAGCAGCCCTGATGTCGCACTATTGCTGGAGGAGCTGTTGACTCCGGCTGAGTGGGAGGTCGTGCTCTCACGGATGGTCCAGAAGCAAGGACCGTTGGATAAGGTATTGGAGCAGCAGATGAACGGTGTGGATGATAGTAGTAGCGCCTGCATGCCCGTGGCTCAAGGCGCTGGCGTGTGCAGCAACAGCAGTAGCTTTGTTGATGCTCCAGGCGCTGGGGGGGCAGCTCCTGCTGCAAGTATGGATTCTGGCGTTGCTGATAACGCTGCTGGTAGCGCTGTTGGTGGTGCTGGTGGCGTTGGTGATGCTGATGCTGCTGCTGTGGCCAACGCTCCAACTTCAGTGGTTGTAGCAAGCATGGACTCCAACATTGCTGCTGCCGCTGCTGCTGCTGTTAGTGGTGGTGGTGTTGCTGCTGCTGTGGCTAATGCAGGAATGGTGCTGCGTGCATTGGATTCATACCGGGACCTCGCCTTTGCGTCTCCCACTCAAATCAGGGCGTCGCCCCCGCCAGAACCCCTGCCATTCCCTGCTGCTCCTGCTGCTGCTGCTGCTGCTGCTGCTGCTGCTGCTGCTGCTGCTGCTGCTGCTGCTGCTGCTGCTGCTGCTGCTGCTGCTGCTGCTGCTGCTGCTGCTACTGCTGCTGCTGCTGCTGCTGCTGCTCAGACCGGTGCTTCTTCTGCTGCTCCATCAATGATTGCTCCTGATTCGATACTCGCTCAATCTGCACCTGCCGTACCTAACACTAAGGGAGCTACCCCCTTGGATCCTTCAGCCAAGATCAAGACCGAGGTGAGCACCTCCCTTTTTTTTTTGGCACTTTGCCTTGTTACTAGCAACGATTCTCTTCTTGCATTTCTCCATCTTACACCCTGTCCCATCCTGTGCATATATTCGTTGCAGCTTATGCAGCATGAAGAGTTGGCACTGGCCTGGCCAAGCTATCCTGTGCCAACCTACGCTGCGCCGACCTATCCTGCGCCGACCCCTTACTCCCCAAAGAGGTCTTCCCTGACCTATCATGCCACCGCCCAGCGTTGCTTATCGTATCCTTCACCAACCCTGTGCACCCCATCGCATAACACCTCCTTCCACCGCACACCATCCCATAACACCCTGTCGATCTGCATCAAGCTACAGCTCGTCCGGTGCATTCACCTGCAGACCTGGTGTCAACAAGATCACTGCTGGAGTCACCTGAAGATTTGGTGTCAGCACGGCCACTGTTACAGTCACCTGCAAAATTGGCTTCAGAAACCTCACCGATACAATCACTTGCAGATCTTGTTTCAGCAAGGCCACTGCTACAATCACCTGCAGATCTGATTTCGGCAAGATCACCGCTACAGTCACTTGAGGATCTGATGTCAGCAGGACCACCAATACTGTCACCTGCCACTCTGGCTTCAGCAGGACCATCGATACAGTCACCTGTGGATCTGGTGTTAGCGAGATCACCGATACAGTCACCTGCAAAGCCGCCAGCAGCACCACCGCTACAGTCTCCTTTCTCGCTTTCACGTGCGGAATTGCTACAGTCTTTCAACCAGTCACCTGCGATCGATGCACAGTCCATGGACTTGCTTCTGTGGCAGCTTGAATCAGAGTTCCAGGCGTCAAGCCTCGTTATGTCACCACCAATGGCAGTAGCAGCAGCACCTGCAGCAGCAGCAGCACCTGCAGCAGCAGCAGCGGCGGCGGCGGCAGGAGCAGCAGCAGCAGCAGCAGCAGCAGCAGAAGATGAGCCTAAGTATCTCCCTGCACCTATTCATACCGAGATGCATGTACCAACCTTGGTTGTCGCAGCAACAGGAGCCGTGGAAACAGCAGCACAGCGCCCGCTACAGCCAAACCCGCTACAGCCGCACCTGCAGGCCAGAAGCCCAGTCATATTTCCTCGGTCATTCTTGCAGCAAGGAGAGGGTACATCTGGTGGTCAAACAAGCATGGGAGGGGTTCACGTTGGCTTGTACGATGGTCAAATGGCCATGTGTGTTGATCAAACAGGCATGTGTGGTGGTCAGTTGATGGGTATGGGCAGCGTTCAAGTGGGTATGGAGTCTTCTTCGGGACAGCAGGATGGGGAACAGGAGCTGTTTCCTTCAGCCGTGGCTGGCAGTCAAGGGGACGGGAAGGGGCTCTCTCAAAACGAGCTCCCTCAAACGGCGCTCTCAGAACGAGCCCTCTCAGGAGGAGCTCTCTCAAAACGAGGCTTTTCAAGATGAGCTCACAACAAACTATGACAAATTACTTGAGTCGATGTCTTTTCATGGCAACGATATATCTGAGTGGCCTATGGCACAACAGCTAGATGAACTTCTGCTAGACAATGCAACTTTCACAAGCTTGAGTTAGTGTGGTGACAGGATGTGTAGGCATGGCGTGTATTCCATTTGTTTCCAATGTATTAGTTTATTCAGAATCAACTGTAGTACCCATTGACTAGTGTATCGTATATGGTGCAGTGATGTCGCCATTGCAATAACAGAAAGGAACACACCATACAGCTGTGTGTGAGCCAACAAAGAAGAAATAAAAAGGGGGGAGCGAGATTGGGTAGTAGGCTAGGCTTATTGCGATTGTGTCTATAGGCCTTGTTACTTGATTCAGTTTTGACCGTTCGGAAGGCTGACCGTCAGAAACACAATACACGGTATTCGAATCCGGAGTGCAAAATGCTAGGCCGGCTTCTCAGATTGCTCTTATTGCAATGGATGAGTGTTACAGCTTTGCTAGCAAGTGAAAAAACATCATAGAACCTAGCAGATATCAATTCTACTGCTATAGCTGTACTGCACCCACAGCAAGCACGGCATGGCCTCATGGTCAGCACCAGTCAGAGATAATAAAAGGTTTGTTTGTGAGGCACACATAAACTTTGAACCGCACCGCTACGGGACAGTAAAGAAAATGTTACTGAGGCGCCCCTGAGACACCACAGAAGCAATTTACGCCCACAGCCATGCTCTTGAGAACAGCTGCGGGCGGAGAGAAGGCACATAAACCCCCCATCCTACTCCTACAGAGATGAAGAGAGATCTGGTCTGTGAGGCGCCTCATATATACCCGCTGCGCCCACTGCCCTTGGAATCAGCTGCGGGTGGAGCAAAGGCACACACACATAGACCCCGAAGCCCACCCCTACAGGGACTAAGGGAATGGCGAGAGCGATGAGCAGCCAGGACCACCAGGCAAGCCTGCAGCACGCACGTTCAGCAGTGCTCTTGGAATCAGCTGCGGGCAGAGCGCAGGCACACATAGACCCCGAAGCCCACCCCTACAGAGACAAAGAGAATCGCGAAACTGATGAGCAGCCACGACCACCAGGCGAGCCCGCTGGAGCACGAGTAGCTGCAGCTTGCAGAGACGTAGGCTGAGAGGGGTGGAGGGAGGGGTAGAGATAGAGGGAGGAGTTGATGGGGAAATGTGACGAGTGCTGTGCGGTGGGAATGAGAAGGTGGGACCACCAGGCGAGCCCGCTGGAGCACGAGTAGCTGCAGCTTGCAGAGACGTAGGCTGAGAGGGGTGGAGGGAGGGGTAGAGATAGAGGGAGGAGTTGATGGGGAAATGTGAGGAGTGCTGTGCGGTGGGAATGAGAAGGTGGGACCACCAGGCGAGCCCGCTGGAGCACGAGTAGCTGCAGCTTGCAGAGACGTAGGCTGAGAGGGGTGGAGGGAGGGGTAGAGATAGAGGGAGGAGTTGATGGGGAAATGTGACGAGTGCTGTGCGGTGGGAATGAGAAGGTGGGACCACCAGGCGAGCCCGCTGGAGCACGAGTAGCTGCAGCTTGCAGAGACGTAGGCTGAGAGGGGGCAAGGGGGAAGCGGAATGGGAGAAGCGGAGAGACAGAGGAGTCGATGGGAAGTATGAGGAGTGACGTGCGGTGCAGCAACGAGCAGCCAGGACCACCAGGCAAGGCCGCTGGAGCACGAGTAGCTGCAGCTTGCAGACCATAGGCTGAGAGGGGGCAAGGGGGAAGCGGAATGGGTGAAGTGGAGAGACAGAGGAGTCGATGGGAAGTATGAGTGACGTGCGGTGCAGCAACGAGCAGCCAGGACCACCAGGCAAGGCTGCTGGAGCACGAGTAGCTGCAGCTTGCAGACACGTAGGGTAGAATGAGGGTGGAGGGGGGTGGGACGGGTGGAGAGGAAAGAGTCAAGTGATTGTGATGTGAGCTGGTTAATGAGAATTCTAAAAAACCAGCGAGAATTCTAAAAAACCAGCGAGAATTCTCAAAAACCAGCGAGAATTCTCAAAAACCAGCGAGAATTCTCAAAAACCAGCGAGAATTCTCAAAAACCAGCGAGAATTCTCAAAAACCAGCGAGAACTCTCAAAAACCAGCGAGAATTCTTAAACACCAGCGAGAATTCTCAAACACCAGCGAGAATTCTAAAAAACCAGCGAGAATTCTCAAAAACCAGCGAGAATTATCAAAAACCAGCGAGAATTCTAAAAAACCAGCGAGAATTCTAAAAAACCAGCGAGAACTCTCAAAAACCAGCGAGAATTCTCAAAAACCAGCGAGAACTCTCAAAAACCAGCGAGAATTCTCAAAAACCAGCGAGAATTCTCAAAAACCAGCGAGAATTCTAAAAAACCAGCGAGAATTCTCAAAAACCAGCGAGAATTCTAGAAAACCAGCGAGAATTCTCAAACACCAGCAAGAATTCTCAAAAACCAGCGAGAATTCTCAAAAACCAGCAAGAATTCTCAAAAACCAGATCGTGATGTGTGGCGTAGGAACGATCACGCAAGCGCGCTCGAGCACGAGTAGATGCAGACACGTAGGCTGAGAGGGGTGGGTGGGTGGGTGGGTAAGGGGAACGGGAGCAGAAGGATGGGAAAGTCTGAAGAGTTGATACGGAATGTGGGTTAGAATGAGCAGGCGGGACCACCAAGCAAGGCCGCTCGAGGACGAACAGCTGCAGACACGTAGGCTGAGAGGGGTGGAGTTAAAGAAACGGGAGAGATGGAGGAGCTGATGGGAAAATGTGAGGGGAGTGCTGTGCGGTGTTTCAACGAGCATGAGTAGCTGCAGCAGGCACCTAGGCTGAAAGGGGTGGAGGGGAGAAAGCTGTATAACTGAAGGGGAAAGAGGGAGGGGTGTGATGGGGAATGTGGGGTAGCAACCGCATTCACACGAGGATGGAAGGACGGCGAGTGAGTGAGTGCAGGGAGGGAAGCGGGCATCTGATTGGAGCACCAGTTTTTTGTATCGAGACGTTTCGGAATCGAATGTGAGAGATCTCAAATTCGACTGGAGGACAGTAAGTGCCAGTTACTCACTCCCAGTGGGAAGGTGAGAGAGTGCAGGGAGGGAATCGGGCATTTGATTGAAGCATGAGGTTTCAATTCGAGACGTCACAAAGATTAGTGTTGAGACGTTTCAGAAGAAAGTGTTGAGGCGTCTAAAAAATGAGTGGGGCGTGTGGGGAGAGCGGGGAGATGGGGGGGATACGGGCGACTTGGAGCTACTATTGCACCCTATTATCATCTGATTCTCGTTACACTCACCTGCACACCATATAGTATATCTTCCTTTGAATCACCACCTGCTGCACGCAATACGCGTCCTTTACGGGCTATACTTCGTGCGATATTCCGAGTTTTTGACGAGCTACGATCTATCGATACATTATATCCAGTCACACTCACCACCGGAGTTCCAAAAGGGCTGTAAGTAAGTGGCACATCCGTAGAGTGTTGCGTAAACTCCATACTCGCTATGATCTATTCATACATTATCCAGTCACACTCACCACCGGAGTTCCAAAAGGGCTGGAAGTAGGTGGCACATCCGTAGGGTGTCGCGTACGCGCAGTTCTGTGGGGGGAGGGGGGCGGAAGGAAAGGGGGGGAGCCGGAAGGGAGGCGGGGGGGAGGCGGAAGGGAGGCGGAAGGGAGGCGGGGGAGAGGCGGGGGGGAGGCAAACTGATGGGGAGAGAGAGCGGTGTGGATAAGTGGAACATCCGTAAAGTGTCGCGTACGCGCACGTCTGTATGGGGGAGGGAGGGGGGAGAGGAGAGAGGGGGGAAGCGGCGGGGGCGAGGCGAAGAAAGGGGAATAGAGAGCACGAAAAAGCTACGTGGCACATCCCTAAAGGCGAGGGTATGCGCAGTTCTGTTGGGGAGGCGAGCGGGAGGTACGCAGTCCGAGTCGGAGTTAACGAGCCCGTGGTGCAACCGGAGGACGAGTTATGAGTCGGCTTTATAAAGTGGACAGAATGAGGAGGAAAGGGAGGAGGAAGATATGGGACGGAGTGAGCTTCTCACGTTGCACTGGACAACGCAGTCATTGTTCATGAGATTGGTGTCGGGAACGGTGCACACGGCCCCACATTGCGCCGCGGCGAAGCTGACGAGGCACGACGCGACAACCAGGAGCGCGAGGTACGTCGCGGTATGCGATCGTTGCTTCATGGCGACGTGGCGACGGCAAAGTACGTAATAACTTGCGGAAGTGAGAATTTTGGAAAGTCAGATCCGAGGGGCCAAGAACACGGACGAGTTAGGAAGCGAGGGAGGATGGTTCACTGAGTTATTAGCTTGAGAGGGGATAGATACAGGCTTGGGCTTCTGCAGTGTGTTCTCAAAACTGTTCCGTGCCAGGGACGGCTAAACAAGACTCGTGATGGTGGGGCAGCTAGAACTGATGCTCCTGGATGTGATGTGAGGGCAAGACGCAGCAATCTACAACTTGATGTCTTCGCTTATTGCTGTTTTTAGTATGTTCAATTTTGTTCAAACCCCCAACCTCCCAACCAGGCCAGTCGGAAGGTTAAATTGACCGTTCTACAACGCTGGGGAGCTCATTTCGCCACACACGAAAGCCCTGGTTTGAAACTTCACCTGGGGCCAAATCCACCGTTTCCCTCCGCCACACCACACCACGCCGACTCACAGTTTTCCTCGAAACCTTCCAATTTCCCCCGCTGACACGCTGGAGCCGAACCGCAAGCAGGGTAGTTGGTCTGGGACGTGGTTGGATATTTCGGATTAGCGGGAATCGGAGTAGAGGTCCGTGTGGCGGTTCGGCTCTTGGCGGGAAAAGTCGTGTGCGGGAAGTGTTTCTTTCGACCACGTTGCTGCCATACGTAGAAGCGACTAATGATAATCGTGGAACTGAGTATGAAGGGGATTTGCTGCAGCAAAGTTGGGGTACGCGTTCGGTGGCCCCTTTCAGAGAAGCTACAGCAATTACTCTTCCCATGCACAAACCTATTTGTATGCTGTTAAACTACTAATTTAACAGCTTTTATTATTTGGAAGTATGCATTTCACTTACAAGCTGATAATTTCTATATGTCTTTGTGAAGCTCACGCGTAGTTTTCGATTGCTAGATTGGACATAGCACAATGCTTAGGGTACATTCCGCTCTGGACATGTCCCAATCGGGTGTACCGCTCCGAACCGAACTAAACCAGAGACGCAAAAATCTTTACAATGTTTGAAACTAGGGTGTAATTCAGTGTAATAAGATGCAGTGCGGTGGAATCGATTGGGACATGTCTAGAGCGGAATGAACCCTTAGTTTCGACGCAACCCTGAAGCAGGCTCCTGGATTGCTTGCTGAGTGAATGGGAAGAAGAAACAGGTTCTCGTGAAGAATAAAAACAAAGAATACGCTAGACAAGCAAAGTCACACTGGAAGACCCTTAGTAGAATAACAAGGGTGGAAGATGGTGGAATTATGGCAAAAATTACAATGGCAGAACCCTCTCCATCCTGAACTGCGCAAAAGATGTCGGTGCTGGGATTCGAGCCCAGGTCTCCACGGCCACAACGTGGGATTCTAACCACTAAACTACACCGACGCGTTAGATATATTCAAAGTTACGTTTAATTCACAATCCTGGATGTTGTCGGCGATGCCATCAACTGCATGGGATGTGCGAAATTTGAGGAGATTCTCCAGGTTCTCCGATTGGAGGGTGTAATTTCAAATTTCCCCCACATCACACGAGGGCTGTAATTTTGTTCAGCTGTTGGTGCTAACACCCTCCGTAATTTTGTATCAGTAGTGAAAGTAACGGCGTTGATTAGGAGACACTAACCAGACCGGCTCTCTAGCAGCAGCGAGTCATTCCGCGATTCGCCGTGGCCGCAGTGACGGTTCCAGATCAATAACTGACGGTAGGCCTCTTTGCGACATTTGCCAGTGAGCGACGTTCGCGCGGCTGTCGCTAGGAACAATACCGCATCGCGCATTCGTGCGACCTAGAGCTTCGGTCTGACAAAGCCGGCGTCGCGCATTCGTCTACTCACCATATTACCGTGCTACTTTCACAATGGCGGGTGTAAGCGAGTTCGTGTATGGTACAATGCCGGCGCAATACCTGCTTTGCTGCAAGAAGTCGCCTACCTAACAGCCCGTATAAGTTGGTAACTCAACCTGATCCATTCTCTGCCACGTGGCACCCGCTGCCTGCAACTCGAGGTCAATCGTTTCCTATGCCACGTGGCATCCCGTCGCCAAGATGCCACCAATGGGGTGCGTTAGCAGCAGAGGCATGGAAGCCCCGGACCTCGATAGTAGTACCGAATACGACAGCAGCACCATCTCCCGAACCACGTCGCAGTCTTCCCGAGCCACCGCGCAGTCGCCGAGCCTCCATGCTCGGCGGTCAGGACCAGCTCCGTCCAGAGGCTTGGGAGGAGCGATGGGACAGATGGCAGGATCGCAGCCAGTAAAGGTTCGTGGGGTGATTTGTATCAACGAATTACGAGTCTCCTTAATTTTATGTTACGTCTCATACTTGATTTGCGAGTTTCTCTGGTATGTGGCATGCTTTTTATCGTGTTTCGCCACGTCTGGTATAGTATGTTCCTGCTCTTGTTTCTATTCCAACCTTTCGGGCTGAGCAGCTGTGCAACATTGATTGAATTCGCGACCTTTTTGTGTGGTAACCCTAATTCGCCAGGACCTGTTGGACGTGTTCATTGACGAGGTAGAGAGTTCGCACAAGCGAAAGTCAAAGAGCAAGACACACAGACACAAGGGGTCATCTGGAGAAGCTGGTGCAGCGGGGGATGTTGGGGCAGCGGGGGAGGCTGGGGAAACGGGGGAGAGTGGAGCAACAGCGGAAGTTGGAGCGGCAGGGAGGATTGGGGTAGAAAGAGCGTCTGAGGCCGCAGGAGTAAAGGCAGCAGATATTGGGGCGTTGAGAGGAGGGGAGGTGAAAGGAACAGCTATTGGGGCATCCCAGGGTGAGGTAGAGGGGCGAGCAACAGAAGGGCGGAAGGGAGGTGAGGAGGAAGATGGGATGGGGCCGCGAGAGAAAGGGCGGGGTTTGGAGTGCACATTAGATGAGCGCTCATCTAATAGTAAGGCGGCTGGACCAGATACGGAAGTAGCAACAGCAACAGCAGCGCCAGACTCAGCTCCTTTACCTACAGAGACATATCTTCTGAATAATCCGGCTTGCGAGCTTGCAAGGCACGCTGGCGCCACATCGGATGCCACGTCAGATCCTCATGCTGGGAGCTTAAGCACAAACGGTCCTCCTCCTCCTGTTCACAGCAACCCTGCTACAGCCTGCTCCGCGGATTCAGTGCATCTAGACAATCCCAAGGGCGCCTCGTGGAAGGCTGACAATCCCAAGGCTGGTTCAGGGGAGGTGAAAAATCCCGGAGCTGCACAACAGGATACAGGGGAACCAGCAGGCTTAGGTTCGGGATGTACAGACCAGGCAGGTAGCTTCGGTGGTGTGGTTCGGGCCAGCCCTGGCGAGGCTGAAGCAGGGGCGGGTTTTGAGGGAGAGGTTGGGAGAGTAGGTTCGGGGAGGGACGGACCTGTCGTCCGAACCTGGGAGGTTGACCCGGAGCGCCGAGCCAAGAGCTGGAGAAGAGACGTGGAGGCCGAGTTCTCTAGGGGTGAAAAGAAGAGAAGAGGCTCGAAGGCGCAGGTAGTAACAGCTCCGGAAGCAGCAGGTGTGGGCGATGGGGATGGTGTAAGCAGAGGACCAACGGTTGTGATTGACTCTGGAGCGGAGGAAGCTAATAAGGAGCGTCAGATGGAGCAGCCCGTACGTGCTATTGGTAATGCAGGTACAGGGGAGGGCGGAGGGGGCGATAGAAAGGAGGGCGGGGGCACGTATGTGAATTTAGACGCGCCTCTGATTTCGTCTGGTGAGGGGGAGGGTGGTGGTGGCACGTACCTGTTTGCAATGAAGCTGCGACGAGTGAGGAGCTCGGGAGATGTCACGAAAGGGGATGTCTCTAAAGGGGATGTTGTTTCTAACGGGGATGCTACTGACGCGGATGTTGTCAGCAGCGGCGCTGCACCTGCGAGTGCTGGGGTGAAGGCCAGGCAGGAGGGGAAGGGGAGCCTGCTGGGTGTGCTGGAGCATGAGTGCATGGGGGAGGGGGAGGGAAGGAGTAAGGGGGAGGATGAGGAAAGAAGCAAGGAGGGTCAGGAGGGGAGGAATGAGGAGGCGGAGGGCCAGGCTAGCCCCAGCAGCAGTAGGCCGGTGCAAGGCATGCAGAGAGACAGTGGCTTGGTGATGCGGGGAAATGGTGCTGTGGTGCAGAGGAAGCGAGCACTGACGGGTGAGGAGAACGCACAAGGAGGAGATGAGAGGGAGGGAGGGCAGGGAAGCCGAGGGCAAAGGGAGGCCGAGGAGAATGGTGGTGGCGGGGGTGGTGATGATGATCTAATGCTTACTGGCAGCTTCTCCTGCTTCGCCAGGAGTCCCAGGCCCAGCCAGCCTGATGCAAAATTCAGTGCAGGGTGGGGTGGGAATGCCTTTGCCTCTGCTGGCGCTGCTGCCGCTGCTGCTGGCGCTGGCGCTGGCACTGCTGCTAGTTCCCGAGCAAGGTCATCAACCAAGCATCCCCGCAAGTCGATATCCTCTTCAAAGCCATCCTCGTTAAGAGTGCCTTCTCCGAAACCTCCATCTCTCGAACCACGGTCTCCTAAAGCAAGTCTGTTAACGTCCTTCTCGTTGGAAGCCCACTCACCTAAGGTACTGTCGTCTCGAGCCCCTCCCACACTCTCCCTCCCCCCAGCCTCCCCCAGGTCCCCCTCCCTCCCTCCCCCATCCCCCTCAGGTGTCTCCGCCAACCTTCCCCCAGCCTCCCCCAGGTCACCCTCCCTCCAACGCCCTCTAGCCTCCTCGCCCCGGGCTTCATCAGCCAAAAGGGGCGTGTCCATAGTCCTTCCCACAGCCCCTGTCCCAACCTCCCCCAATCCTACCTCCCCCAAGCCTCCCTCCTCCACGCTTCTTTCCCCCAGGCCTGCCTCCCCCAAGCCTGCCTCCCCCAAGCCTGCCTCCCCCAAGCCTGCCTCCTCCAAGCCTGCCTCCCCGAAGCCCACCTCCCCCAAGCTCTCCTCCCCCAAGCCCGCCTTTGCCGAGCCTACATCCCCTAAGCCTGCTGCCAATGCTGCCTCCTCTGCTCCTGCTTCTCCTGCTGCTGCCACCTGTGCAACCACCGCTGCTGTCACTGCTGCTGCCGCTGCTGGTTTGGAGCAGCAAGAAGCAGACGAAGACGCCCTTCTCCTCTCTCTTGAAGCACCTCAAAACTCGCCTGCTGCCCCTGCTGCCTCCTCTGCTGCTGCTGCCTCTGCTGCTGCCTCTGCTGCTGCCTCCTCTGCTACTGCTGCCTCTGCTGCTGCCTCTGCTGCTGCCTCTGCTGCTGCCTCCTCTGCTGCTGCTGCCTCTGCTGCAGCCACTGATGATTCTCAGCAGCAAGAAGCGGACGAGGATGCTCTTCTCCTCTCTCTTGAAGCACCTCAAAACCCACCTGCTGATCCTGCTGCCTCCTCTGCTGCTGCTGCCTCCGCTGCAGCCACTGGTGGTTCTCAGCAGCAAGAAGCAGACGAGGACGCTCTTCTCTTGTCTCGACTCGGATCCCCTCGCATCGTGCTCCCCAATCGCATACAGTCACACTCGTTCAAGTGCATAAGCAGCAGCAACAAAGCCATCCAATTAATGGCACGATCGCGCAGCGATCCTGACGCTCCATCGGCATCTCTGCTTGATCCAATGGCTGACGTCGTCCTTCCTCCCCACTTCCCCACCCTTCCCCATCTTTTCACCCCTCCTCGCCTCGCCACTCCCCCTCGTCCACGCTCTCGGGGAGGCTACAGTAAACTGCAGGTAGATCTAGCAATCATCACGACTGTATCGGATTTTATCGGATTTGATTTGTTTGGGGATGGGGAGGAGGAGGAGGGGGGAGGTGCGTCTGGGGAAGGTGAGTCTGGGGCAGGTGGGATGGACCCGTGGGGTATGGTTGCTGCTGTGGGTGGGTCGCTCTGGCCTATGAGTGACTGTACAGAGGGAGAAGAAGCGGCACAAACTGGTAAGGTGCAATTGAATTCCGCAGAGGTGCTTGTGGTTGATTCTACAGAGGGTGACTGTATGGAGGGAGAAGAGGCAACTCAGCAGGTGCTAGATGATGCAGCAGGTGTGCAAGAGATGAGTGGGGAGGATGTGACTAAAAAGGATGTGAATGGGGAGGATGTGATTGGAGAGAACGTGGCTGTAACGGCAGCTGAAGGGGTGATCGAAAGCAGAGGGCAGGCAGATGGGACTGTAGAGGATGTGAGTGCTGCTGAGGATGTGTCTGGTGGCGATGTGACTGTAAAGGGGGTGATCAGCGAGAAGGTGCATATAAGGGAGGTGATTGTAGCAGCCTCGGCATTGTGGAGGGACGTGATTGAGCACCGGGAGGATGTTGATATGGCTGTAGAGGGGGCTCTGGTGGATAGGGTTACCACACGGAGTGATGAGGGAGAGAAGGGAAGAGGCATGGAGGAGGCGGAGAGCAGAGTGAAACGAATAGGTGCGGGTGCTGATATGGCTGCTGATGTGGCTGCTGATGTGGCTGCTGATGTGGATGATGTGGATACTACAGACGATAAGGTGCCGAGCTGGCAGCAGGTGTGCAAGCAGGGGGAGGTGATTGTAACGAAGGCCAAGCTTCTTATGAGTCTCTTAGAAAGGCTTGAGTGTGAGGTTGCAGAATGTGATGTGCTGAGACTGTCCGCGACAGATGTAACCCTGGGGGGGACAGATGTAACCCAAGCAGGGACAGGTGGAACTGTTCCAGAGACAGGTGTAACCCTGGCACTGGAGAATCTGGTGGTTCTGGCAGAGCAGCATCTGTTGCTGCTGAGTCAGCAGCATACAGTGGGAGGACGAATAGGGGAGGAGGGTGTGACTGTGAGCGATGTGACTATAGGCGGTGTGACAGCACGCAGCATAAATGTAGGCGGTGTGACAGGCGGTCTGGTTGTAGGTGGTGTGACTGTAGGCGGTGTGATTGCAGAAGGGCCAACAGAAAGTGCAAGAAGGTTGGAAAATCTGCTGTTTCTGGTGGCAGGCGTTTTGAGAGTTATGGAGGCGAGGAGGAGGGTGAGAGATGTGGAGAGAGAGGGAAGTGTGAGGGAACAGGGAAAGGTGGAGGAGGGAGTGAGTGTTGGAAACGAAGAGGACGAGGAGGAGGAGGATGAGGACAAGGAAGAGGAGGAAGAGGATGAGAAGGAAGGAGGATGGGTAGAAGGCGAAGAGGAGGACCTGGAAGGAGAGGATGAAGAGGAGGGGGGAGGAGGAGAGGCAGAGCCAGGCAGAATTGTGGGATCGAAGTGGGAAGCTGCTAGAAGCTGCCTCAGAGCATGCAGCGCTGCTGGTGGATCGCTGCCTCTCTCTTGCAAACCAGCAGGCAGAGAGTGCGGGCCTAGAGACACAGGGAGGAGGCAGGGAGAAGGGTTTCCAAGAACCACTTGCCCAGAGGGCGAACAGAGGGCAGCTGGGGGTGAATAGAGGACAGCAGCAGGGGATGACGTCTCTGTTCTGCCTGATAGAAAGTGCTGAGCTTCTCTGTGGCTGTGTCCCGCCTGCTGCTGCTCCTTATGCTGCTGCTCCTGATGCTACTTCTGAAGCCTATACAATGCCTGACACTGCTCATCCTTCAGCAGTTGTGCCGTCGTCATCGGCGGTGGCGGCGGCAGCGGCATTTAGGGACCGGGCTGCTGCACATGGGGTGAAGATATGTGCTGCAGGAGCAGCAGCGGCGGCAAAGAATGCAGGAGCGGCAAAGAATGCAGGAGCAGCAGCAGCGGCGGCAACAGCAACAGCAGCAGCTGCGGATGTTGCTAGAGACGGAATGGTGCTTGTTGCAGCAGCGGCAGAAACAATCGGAGGGCTGCTGAAGCCACGTTTGAGGCAGAAGCAGCAGGAGGAGGAGGAAGACCAGGAGCAGCCGCACGAGCAGAAACAGCAGGAGCAGGAGAAGCAGCAGGGAGAGCAGGAGCAACAGGATCAGAAGCAGCAGCAGCAGGAGAAAGAGAAGCCACTGCTTCCTGCTCCGAAGCACTGGGTGTCTCACCTGCTGCTCTCGGGATGGCTGCTGCTGCAGCGCCATACTGCTGCTGCTGTAGAGGCTGCAGCAGTTGTCAAGAGCTGGGGCATTGATTGTTTTAGGGAAGAGACGCTGTTGTCGTCGACAGCAGGTTCGGCTGTTGTCACTACCCTCCAGCTCCGGCTTTCTTTTCTTCGCACCCTGGTGGAAGCTTACAGGAAGCTTCTGCACGCAATTGCAGGGTTCTGGGGCTGGCAAGAGGGGAAGGGGAGCACGGGAGAGGAGGGGACGCGAGAAGAGGGGATCAGGGAAGAGGAAACGCACAAAGGATTGAGCATAAGTAGATCTGACTGGTTAGAGGGGAGTGTGAGTGTGACAGAGTGTGAGGTGGTGTGTGACAAGCTGCTCAGAACAATAAATGCAATGCAGTTGTGGTTCGAGCTGTCTCAACAAAAAGACTGCACTGCTGTGAAGGCGCAGAAGACTTGTGGGCTGGCTGAAACGAAGGCTCGTCACTCACCTTCTCACACAGAAGATATGCTCGTTTCCCTGGGATTCTCAGGGCTGGTGGCAGTGGCAGGCATGGTGAGAGCGATAGAGGCTGCGGCAAACGTTGAGGAGGTGACTTGTGAGGCGGCGCCTGTCATGGGGAAGCGGCGAGAGAATTCAGGGGTGAAGGGAAGGAGAGAAAGAATTTTGATGAAGGGAAAGAGGGAAAGGTCAGGGGGTGTGGGAGCAGCAGGAGGGAAGGAGGGTAGAGGAGACAGGGAGGGTTCAATGAAGGGGGAGGAGGCAGGGCGTGTGGTTGCTGGGGCGCCTGTGACAGAAACGAGTGTGCTTGTACGGGGGGCTGCAAGTTTCTTGGATGAAGTGAGAGATGGGGTGGGCAGGTTGATTAAAGGAGTTGATTATAACAGAGGTACCACACCTGACGATCTGCGGCGGGAGGGAATAAAATCCGCAGATAATAGAATCTGCGGAAATTTTGTCGTCAGCCAGAGTGACGCCGCCCAGATTGCGCTGAGTCTTGTGGCGGCTTCTGTCCGGCATTTTTGTCTTGTAGCAGAGGAGGGCGGTTGCAGGGAGGGCGGCAGCGGTTTGGGCAGGGAGATGGGTGGTGTGCGGTGGGGTGGGAAGCTTCTGAGAAAGGCAGGGAGGAGCTGTGCTGCTGTGATTCGTGCTGCTGCCATGCTTGCAGGTAGGGTGATTGGGGAAGAGTTTGAAGGAGCGGAGGAGACAAGGGGAGAGGGAAGAGAGGGAGGAGGAGAAGGGAGAAGGAGAGGGGGGGTGAGGAGGAGCAAGAGGACGGGGTGCAAGCAGCAGCAGATTCGCTACTGCATGCTGCAGAGAGGCACTTAAGACTGATGAAGGGCGTTGAGAGAAGGCAAGGGGAGCTGCAGCTCCTGCAGCAGCAACAGGGGCGGGAGATGCAGGAGAAGCAGGTGCAGCAACAGGATCAGTCGGTGCCAGAGGGGGTCTTGATTATCGACGAAAGCAAGGAGGGAGGCAGGGAAGTGAAAGGGGGAAGCAGGGAAGGTGGTCTCTTGGGTGAACTGGCAGGTGGTCACATTGACAAGAGACATGTGAGACGTGAGCAACGGGCTGCTGCTGCTGCTGCTGCTGCTGCTGCTGCTGCTGCTGCTGCTGCTGCTGCTGCGGGTCTGGCTCTGCATTTGGCTCACAACACTGAGATGCTGGTGCTACCTTGGTACTTGCCTTCTGATGGGCGTGCGATTCTGCTGAGAGGAGGGATGGGCAGGGGGAGGGCAAGGCAGGGGTTCTTGCTCAGCAAAATTCTTTTCCGGGCAGCTCAGCTGGGCCAGGTGTTTCTGTCGCATTGGACAGCCAGAGTACCTGATTTTGCGGCGGAAAGTGAAGCTGAGGAAGGGAGGGAGTGTGAGGGTTCGTGGCACAAAACACAGGCTGTAAGGGACGGAGAAGTGGTGCAAGGCCACGGAGCGGCGGACCCAAGGTTCACTGCTAGCCTGCCTGCTGCTGCTGAGATTACCGCTGATGGTGGTCTTGCTGCGCGCTTTGCTGCTGGCTTTGCGTGGCTGGTGCGGTGGTCAGGAGGAATGGCTGCACTCGAAGGGAAGCTGGAGCAGCAGCAGCAGGACCAGGACAGAGGTGGAAGGGCAGGTGGTTGGGAAGAGAGTGGAGAGGTGGATGGGGCGGTGAAGGGCTACTAGTGCAGGGGGCAGCAGCTAGGGAATTGGCACGCGACTTGCTGATTCAGGCTGAATTGCAGCGGTCCCAAGAAACGACTGATGAGGTTGGGGTTACCACCGGTGTCCATGCTCTTTCGGAGAGGAATGGGCTGTTTCATACTGAGGATAGGCACAAGGATGAGGTGGACAGTGCAGCGGGCAGTCTACCACTGGTGTGCTGAGTCAGCGCGCTGATTTGGCTGAGCTGGCGGCTGCGTATGCTGAGTCGTGTGTCAGATTCGCTGAGTCAGCAGCAGCTGTGCCGTCTGGTGACGCCTGGCAAGGCCTGCTTCTGCAGGCGGAAGGGTTGGTGGTGGAAGCTTCCAAGCAGCTTCGGATGCTGTTGCAGGCAAAGAAGCACCGAAGCAGCAACAGGAGGCAGCAGAAGGGATGGCAGGGCGGGTATCCAACAGAAAACAGCTGCGAATATTATGGCAGGGTGGTGTGGATTTTGTAAATTATGGCGGTATGGACTGTTCAAATCATGGGGCTGAAGCAGCATGTGAGGATGACTTCTTGTTGCTGGCAGCACTGGTTTGAGGAGGCTCAGTTTCATCACTCGCTGCTGCTCCAAGCAACGCAAGACAGAGCAACAGAGATATGTGCAGCTAAGGCTGAAAGCAGGGTTTCATGGCTCAGGGGAGGCTGTGTCTGGGGGAGGTGCATGTGACTCTGTACCAGAGTCACGAGCAGGGGTGCTGTGTGCAGAGTGGAAAGGTCCTCTATCCGCCGCTCTGCTCTGCTTCTGCGTCACCGTGCCTCCTCTCTCCTCCACCGCCTCTCCATCCCATTCGCACCTCCTCCTCCTCCTGCTGCTGCTATCCCTGGGCTTTCCTTATCGTCAGCATCGTCCAACAAACCTTCCTTCTCCTCCCCCACCACCAGTCACTTGGTCGTGTCAGCAGCAGCTACTGCAGCCAGGCTTGTGACCTCCTCTTCCCTCCTTGCTTCTCTCCTGCAAGCGCTTCTGCTTCTCTCCCCTGATGATCCCAGACCTGCTCCTGATGCATCACCAGCTTCTGCAGCCCTGCCTGCTGCTGTGCTGAGTCAGCAACATGCCACCGTCCACTCACTCGCCTTGCCCTTGCTGATGTGGCAGCTGACCTGGACACGCAGCTAGCCAGGCTGGCAGACGCATGCCTCCGCCATGCTGCCTGCACTGATCCTGCCGGTGCTGACGTGGCACTTGCGTATTGGCTGCTGGATGCAGGGCAAGAGCTGGTGACTCACTCCCATTGGCTCATACAAGGAACAGGTAAAGGGAAGTCAGGCGTTACAAGTGTTACCGATGTTACAAGTGTTACAGGAGCAGAAGCAGCAGCAGGACCAGCAGCAGCAGTGAACAGCGTGGGTTGTGTCGCTGCTTTGTCTCTCAGGCTGCTGAAAGTTCTCTTCTCCTTCTTTTGTGGCATGCACCGCCCTCCACCAATGCTGCATCCCCCATTTCTTCCTTTTCAGAACTGCCCTGCTCCAGTCGTACCCACCCTGCCTCTACTGCCCGCCCTCGCTGACCTCTCGCCTGCAGCAGCTAGAAGCTGCTATGGGCCTGCTAGTCCCTGCACAGGCACACGCGCACGGGAGGGCTTCTGAACCGCAGCATCACAACCCACTGTCCCCCCCACAGCAAGGGCTCTCTGTGCGGAGCAAACAGGGCAGTGGCAGCAGTGGCAGTGCCGTGACAGCAGCACGCACTCTCTGTGTGTCGTGGCTTAGCCTGTGCTCTGAGGCCCTCTCTCTCATGGCCGATATCCGCACTCGGCTGAGTCAGCTCTATGTGCTTTCCCATTCCCATGACAGGGGGCTTGCACATGCCCACTCTGCCACTGATGCAGCAGCCGCGCCTATCCCCTTGCTGAGACCCTTTAAACCCCATCTGCCTATAGCAGCAGCAGCAGCTGTTCCTGTGGTGTCTGCGCTGCTGCTGCGCTGCCTCTTGAGGCTGGGGGTGCTGTGGCGGAGGTGTGGGGGGAGACTGGTGGGGGAAAGAAGGGGAATTGGGGGAGCCGGGGGAAGAGTAGGGGCGGAAGGGACGGCAGAGGGAGTGAAGGAAGCGGCAAGGGTGGTGACGGGTTGGGATTGGAAGGGAGGAGGAGCTTTGCTGTGGATGGGTGTACGCTTGGGATAGTGACGGTTCTGCTGCTGCTACTGGCGATGCTGGTTCCCACACCCCTGTCCCCCCTCTTGCCTCTGCAGCAGCATCAGCAGCAGCAGAGGTCACCCTCCTGGTCCTTGCTCCATCACAACATGCCCTTCCCACTACCATCCCCATTATCCGACCACAAAAGTTCGGGACAAGGTAGAAAACGGGAGGAAAGGGGCGAGCTAGTGGATAGTCATGGAGGGGAGAGAGGAGGAGGGGAGCAGACAGAAGGAGGAAAAGAGGGAGAACAAGTCAAGGAGCCGTTTCTGGATGGGGGAATTTCTCGGCCTGTTCTCTTTGGCGATCTCTGTGCTTCCATTTGTTCCAATGCTGCTGCCGCGTTGACAGGAAATGCCACAGATCTTGCAGATGTGGCTGGTAGTAACCCTGAGAATGCTTCTGCTACAGCTGGTGCTACAGCTCTTGCTACAGCCTCTAGCTTGGCCGGGCAAGCCTCTGCACTGCTCTCCGTGCTACAGTCGCTGGTCTCGGATGCTGCTGCTACAGCCATTCCTGCTGCTATAGGCTCTGCTGCTACAGCTGTCGCTGCTACTACTGGTGCTGCTCCTGCTGGTGCGGTTTCATCTGACGCTGTGAGGGCAGCTGATGCGTCGGCTATATCTGCTGCTACAGCTGGCAATGCAGGGTCGTCAGCCCAGCTTCTTCCTGCAGTGGCGATGGCGGGAGCAGCAACCGTGGTGGCTCACACTATGGTGCATGCGCTTTCTCTGGAGATCACTCTTTCCCTAGGCGCGCAATCCGCTGGTGAGTGCAAAGCGAGTGCATGAGTGGGTGAGTGATGAGCATGTAACAGTGGCAGCTCTTTTCCTTGCCCTGCAATCCGCTGGTGAGAGGGAAAGCGTGTGGTGTGGGTATGCATTTGTGCGTATGAATGCGAGTGAAGGCATGCAATGCAAGCATGTTGAGACTCTCACAGCTTCTCCCAGCAGTGACGACGGCGCGAGCAGCAGCAGTGGTGGCTCACGCTGTCCTGCATGCTCCACAGCTTGCTCTTTCTCTTGGCACTTGGCCTGCAATCCGAGGGTGATTGAGATGTGTGAGAGTGTGAGCGGCTGACTGTGTGGGTGTGGGATTGGGTGAATGAGTGAGCATGTTACAGGAGCAGCACTTAGGCAGCGGTGGCTCACACTGTAGTGCGTGCAATCGCTCTGGTTGTGGCATGCCGGTGGGAGGGGGTGAGTGAGTGTGTGTATGTGAGTGTGTAAACTTTTTTTACCGGAACATTCAATTAACAACTGTCCGCTTCTCTAACACTCCTCCCTTGATTGTTGTTGCTCCCATCAGGCACACAGGAGCGACTCACCTCGTTAGTGCAGGGAGCCACTCGCCTCTCACACTTACTCAAGAGCCACTTAGCTGTGCTGCAGCAAGCTGCCAACCAGGGCTGTGGAGCTCCTAGGTTCTTCCTCGCGATGACAGATGGCGCGACGCTATTCGCCCGTAAGCTACAGGGCCATATAGCTGAGTTACAAGTGGCCGAGGCTGCTTGTATGGGGGATAAGGCGAGGGGGAGAGGGGGAGACGGAAGGGGGGGATGGAGCGGGAAATGGAGCGGAAAATTTGGGGCAGTTACAGCAGAGGAGGATCTCGCTCGGGCAGCTGGAGGAGCGTTCCGATTGGCTTCTGAGGCTGCCCGGCACGCTGGGCGGCTAGAATTGGAAGCTTCTTGGGAAGCACTGGGAATGGATGGCAGCAGCAAGGGGGGGGTGATTGGCAGTAGGGGCCCTCCCAAAGCCAGGCATCTGCTCTTTGAGAGACATGCAGCAATGAAGCCTTTGGCTCATGCCAAGAAGGTAGAGGCAGAGTGGATGTGGGGTGGGGGCGATGAGGATGAGGAGGAAGGGGATGAGGAGGAAGAGAAAGAGGTGGAGGAGGAGGGAGAGGGTAGGCGCAGCGAGAATGTGGAGGGTAGAGGAATTGGAAAAGGGGAAACTGGAAGGTTCAGTGGCAGAAGGATGGGCAGCAGGTTCGCGGGGAGCAAGTTTGGGGGAACCAGGAGAGTGAACGTGGAGTTGCTTATAGAGAGTGTGAATATAGCCGCAGAGCTGGCATACCACAGCCATAGAGTGCTGACCAAATGCGTGGAGGGTGTGGGTTCCGGCTGGGTTGGGGAGGTCACAGAAGCTGCTCTTTCCGCACAGATTATTGACGCAACTGGAGGCTTTGCGTCTGATTTGAATATGAGAGGAGGTGCTGGTGTGGTGAGGGTCTCTGCTACCAGTGGGGTGAGAGCATATGGGGATGTGGATATGAGTGCACCCATCCCTGTTCTCTCCGTGTTTGCAGTCAAGCTGCAGACACCTGCTGCTGCTGCTGCTGTGGGAGAGTCAGCAGCGTCGGCAGGAGGGTACGGGGCGCAGGAGAGGGGGATGGTAAGGTGCTGCAAGGAAGTGAGCCCACAGCACATGAGGGGACTGCTGCTGTCGAGACTACTGTCAGAGCCACCACCACTGCACCTGCTGCTGCTGCACCTGCTGCTGCTGTGGCTGCAGCCTCTGATGGCTCTGCCTCTGTGGGTGCTGCTATTGACTCGACTCAAAACACACCCGGAAAACGCTCTGCAGCAGACGAAGCTTCTGTCGCCACCCCATCCCCCTCCTCTCCTCCTCATCTCCGTACCTTCCTCCGAGCTCCAGCTGTCACTCCGCCATTCGTCCGACGCCCCATGCTGACGTCATCCTCCCCATCCCTCTCTTCCTCTCGTCTTCTGAGGAGGATCGGAGCAGCTTCGGCACTGACCCAACCCTGGAGCATGTTTGGTGTAGCTCCAGCCTAGGGCCGAGCCACGATCAGCCTCGGATCAGCTCCGGACTTGACTTGGCTCGGGAGCAGGCTCGAAGCAGCCTTGAAAGTGGGGGCAGTGGGAACGAGAGGGGTGGGAGGGAGGGGAGGAAAGGAAGGGAGAAGGAGAAGGGGAGGGAGAGGAGGCGGATGGAGTTAGTGACAGGAGGAGGTAGGGCGGATCCTGGCTCGGCATCTTTTGCCTCAGCTGTGTCAGCAGCATCAGCTGTATCAGCAGCATCAGCTGTATCAGCAGCATCAGCTGTATCAGCAGCATCAGCTGTATCAGCAGCAGCATCAGCTGTATCAGCAGCATCAGCTGTATCAGCAGCATCAGCTGTATCAGCAGCAGCAGCAGTTTCAGCAGTTTCAGCAGCGTCATCAGCAGCAGGAGCAGGAGCATCATCTATTGAAGGTTCAGATGGTGGATCAGGTTGGAAGGGTGCGATCCGGTGGGAGTCAAGGCAAAGAGAG